TTTTTTCCCCTAAAACCCCTGTCCCCCCAACAAAACAAAAAAAAAAAAAAAAAAAAAAAAAAAAAGTACAAGTGCAAAAAAAAGCTATTGTGGGAAGTCACAGTAGTTACAAGGATACAAACCCCATTTCTTGAGGGAAAGATGCAAAATTGAACACTTTTTCATAATTACAGCAATAAAAATAGCAGATTATTAGAATTTGCACCCATCACTATCCTAGTGCTTTGCTTACAAAGCCCAGCCCTACCCTTTGCCTGTTCTTTTCTTTTTCTGGTTGCAAACGGAGGGGCAGCACATCCACATTAATGCTTTGCCTAACATCAGTCTAATCCCACTAGGCATCTTAAGGCACAGATGCCCTTTTCCTTACACTTACCCATCAGATACGCTCAGGCCATAATAACTTATAAAATCAGTCGCTTCCTCACAATCTTTGAACAGTAGCATGCGGACCAGGTGATCCAAGGGAAACACTGTACATCTTTGGGTGCTCACAGTGTAGGCAATATTGAGAGATTTGAGAGCATCTTTACGAATCTGGGGGAAGACAAAAGAAAAAGCCACATAACTACTAAGTTAAAGACCACAAAATGTACTAGAAAGTGTACTATAAACATGCAAATCACGTTTAAAAGAAATCAGTACTTTGTCATCAAATACCCCCACAAAAAACTATTTGGATTTAACTTTCTTTTTAAATTCTATGCATTTGCTTTCTAGTTTCTGCTCCTCTTTGATGCTGCTCATTTTGAGCACACCCCTTTGCGATTCTTGTGCAGAAGAAAAAGCTTGCAAGGACTTCCAAAAGTACAGGTTGATATTTCCTTTGCCAAAATCTCAGGCCTGCTTCTCTGCTTCCCAATTACTTTCAGGGGAAATAGTATGTATTTGTACACAGTTATGGGAAAAAACCTCCGAGAAGAGCATTTTAGTATTTTCCTTTTATATCACAGCAGAAAACTCTTGATAAATTTTTAAATGCTTCTGAAGAAGCAGGAATAAGATTATTTTTCAGGCTAAATATCTACCAAGTTTTCTGCTAAGAAGATTTCCTCCCAAAAGTCCCAGACTGTTTACTGATTAACACTTTAAAAAATATCCATCTGCCTTTTTCTCACCTGGTTGAAATAACAATGTAGGAGACAGGCATTCAGATAGGAAGCTGCTTGCACCAACTTGAAAAACCTCACAAAGTTGTTGCTGTTTAATGCAGCAAAAGCTTGAACTGCAAATCTAACTTCAGGAGAGTTTCTAACCTCTGGATGGAACTGCTGTACTTCTCTGTGGACACAAAAGACAGAGACAAACCTTTTGCTTCAATATTAACAATCACAATTCAGTAGCAACCTGTAACAAAACGCAAGTAAAATTAGCAGCTTTAAGCAAGACATGCGACTCATGTCCAAAACAAATGGTTCTGAATTAAATTTGCAGAATTATCTACTGATCATTAATCTTCTAATGATGCTTGCATTATCAGCATGTTGTTATCTAGGTACATCACTCCAACGTCTAGGGAGGAAGGCAGTTAAGAGATTGACCAGAAAAGCACAGTACAACTCTGCCCGCAAAATGATTTTTGCTTGGTCCTACTGCAGATAAAGCAGTGAAGATTGGATACCACTCTGAAGCGAAAAAAAGAATTTCGTTGATTGAGAATAGTGAAGATTTAACTTCTTTTTGGTTGGTTGGTTGTTTTTTTCACTACCTGCAGAAGCTCTAATGAGTTATTCAGGGAAATTAAAAAAAAAAGCTTTCTTTTTTTAAAATAACCTATTGAAAAATTCAAATAAAAAAAAAAACATTACTACAGTACACTTTCTTTGGGAAAAAAAAAAATTGCAACTAAGCTCTTCACTTTCATTACAACTTGTCTGGACTTAATCCTAATCTCAATTCTCCCCAGAGGCAAAGAGAGAAAACAAGTGATATCTGTTGTTCTCACCTGAGAATATCACCCTTGTTGAGATTCAGCAAGACATTATAACCTCTGAACTCTGCTTCACTCTTGCAGTAAATCCCCTTGTTAGCCAGGTCCTGATACATCTCCTTCAAGCTCTGAAGGCATTTAGTCATGTTCTCATTGTTGATTTTGGCATCAAAGGAGGACATAGGCTCTTCACACAAGTGGTGAGCACAATGGATGTGAAAGCGAGTGCACTTCTCAATCAGAGACACCATCAGCGGGTTGCAGAGATGTTGCTGGGTTATATCCTAACCAGAACAATAAAGAAAGCATTGCCTGTATTTTTGAACTCCAGTTGAAGAACATAGTCATCCGGCACTACCTTTGGAAAACTCATTTCAACTGTACTTTGAGTCATTTTGCAATTCAAAACGTTTCAATTACTATTGCTTTTTGCTTCACTTTTTACAGCATTATCTGATCTTTTGCTTTCTGTCATCAAACGTCTCCATCTGCCAGTGCTTACCTTTCTTATTCCACGAGTTCTGTTCCAGACAAAGTCATACCATTCTCGGTAGTTTCCTTCTCCTTGATCCATAATGTTTGTGACCAAATAGTCCATGGTCATGCTCAACACCTCAGACGGTCTCAATTCATGGGGCAAAGGTTCCTCCTGATCTGCTGAAGACCTGCTATATTCCTTGATTGCTGCTGCATGATCTACCTGCAAGACATAGAGAAAAGAATCAAAGTCTAAAGATTATGTTCAACTTTTCAGAGTACAGTGGATTTCATACCATCCATGCCTTTTACTTTAGTAAGAAGCAGACTATTACAGGAGTTTCTCTGCTGTTCACACTAACAGCCCACGTCCATTCTGCTACAATAGCAAATATATTTTATTTTCTTTTATGACAGGATCCTAAGTGTTGACTTAGTCTCAAACTCATAACCTTAGAAGACAATGTATATGGCTGCCCTATAGTTTTAGAACTATAGCTCTAAAAGCCTGTCTGTAGCTAAATAAAAGACATGACAGAATGAAAAAGCAATTCTCTAGCCTTCTTGTTTTACAACAGGGAATTGAAAGATATTAATGAAATGGCCTCCAAAATTTTTTCACCAGAATGAACCCTGTAATCAACTAAACAACACTGACAGCTTTATATAAGCAGGAAGCAAACAGATGTTCTGGGAACAACAAACCCCTGCATACAGAGGGCTCATACCTTGTCAGATCCTAGAAGCAATTCAAAGATACTGAGCTGGTTTCTTGTCTCCCTCATGTAGCGCTCCTTTTCAGGACACATGTCTGGGCAAGTGCCAACAACGGTTTTTGCTTTGCCAAGATCAGTCCTTTTTATTCGAGCTAAAAAAATAAATAAAATTGAATAAACACTACGCATCTCATTTTTGTTTTCATGAGAAGCTATTATCGTTATGTGCCAACACAGCCCTAAGCATGCCAGATGCCTCAGTTGGAGGCTGTACGTTGGTCAATGGATGGCTGTCAAGAAGGACATGGCTAGGGCAACAGTTCACAAAAGCAACTGGTGGGAAAAGGTCTCCAGAGATTTCCATCCTACCTCTACTCAGAGGAAGGCTGTACCCACACCTTGGTGTGGTCAGAAATGCACAAGGATGGGGTTCCCCCACTCTGGGGCCTGTCCCAGGGTTGCATCACGCCTTTGAGGAAATTTCTCCTACCATCCCACCTGGATATAGAGAGTTTTCCTGAAAGGACTGAAGCCTTTAAAAGATACCCAATGCTTTGTGTCCTAACTAAGCACCAGCAATTTCACAATTCTACGTCATGTGGACAAGAAATCTGTTTGTCGATATTAAAAATAAGATCTTAAATTAAAAGTAGGGTCAGCTTTGAAATGGCAAGAACAGGATGGAAGGGTGTCCTGGTTTCAGCTGGGATAGAGTTAATTTTCATCTTGGTAGCCAGTATGGGGCTGTGTTTTGGGTTTAGGATGAGAACAATGTCGATGATACACTGATGCTTTGGTTCTTGCTAAGTAGTGCTAAGCTGTTGCTAAATAGGTGCTAAGAGGCGCTCACACTGGTCAAAGACTTTTCAGCTTCCCCTGCTCTGCCGGGTGCACAAGAAGCTG